AATTCGAGGAGCGCGTCGGAGAGCTCATGGCCTCAGCAAGGCTTAGGGGTTTAGGGTTTAGGGTTTAGGATTTAGGGCTTTGGGTCTAGGGATTAGGATTAGGGCTTAGGGCTTACTAGGGCTTAGGGTTTAACACAACTTTGGCGGTAGGTGAGAAGCTGCGTTTCAAGACTTCTGATGGGATTTCGGATTCAATCGAGAACCTGCTCCAACCTCCTAATGGGCCTAGACCAAGTCCGCACAGAGCAAGCCTAGGATAAAGGAAGTCATGAAATGACCCCTCTCGGCATATGCTAACCCTAGACTCCGCGCAGACCGCAGGAGTCTTCAAGCAGGCACCTCATCAAAAAGCCTTGCAAGAGACCACGGTCGCCTAGGATGGGCCCTGAATCCAGGAGATCCCTATATAGTCCCCCTTAAGTAAATAGAATATGGGGTATATGGGGATCTTATTATACTGTAGCCAAAGCCATATTCTATCTACTTAAGGGGGACTATATACCTGGTCATCGCTTCATACCAACATTACAGGCCTTGGTCTTGGCCTCTGGGTTGGTCCCGCAGCCTGAGCCCTGGCTCTTTTTGAATATATCCTCCAATATATGAGCTCTCTTAAGGGGAATACTTGATATCGTAGGGGCATGTCTAACGAAGGGATTATGTACCATACATGTACCCCGCAGGGTTCCCAGAGCCTGCAAGAATAAGCTGAGCGTGAGACCTCTCGCATAGTCCAAGAAGGGTTGGCTTTTTACGCCGAGCAGATACACCTGGCTTGGACACAGGTTTTAAGGTTTAGGGTATGAGTTCGGGAAGCTTCTTGGTGGTTGAACAAATAGTGCGCCTGTGACTATCTTACTCTTATGGAACACCAGAACTAAGAGGATCTAATGTGATGTGGCTCTACATTCTCCCTGCTTGAGACACGACCGCTCCGATCCCTGAAACCCTATACCCTATCACCACTGCAGCCTCATCATAGCAACATTCATAGTGAGCATAGCAACTGCAATGCTTGTAAGTAAGTCAGGGTTTGGGGTTCAGGGTTCAGGGCGGCTTTTGAAGGCATACTTGAACACTATGAAGAGTCTTATGAAAGTGGGTATCATGCTGCTACTTCAAATGAACCCTAAGCTCAAACCGCCACACCCGAAGACCGAAACCGCACACCCTGAGCCCTAAACTCTAAGCCCCAAACCCCAAACCCTAAACACTAACTAAATAGTAGCTTCCATTTTCTTTCCGATTATCCCCATATATCCCTATATGAGCCATTGTCTAAGCTCCTAGTATCCCACTTAATAACCCCTATAGTAGTTCCCTATATAATCCCCTACATAACCCCCTTTAAGGAGTTTAGACTATGGCTCATATAACCCCATAAAACCTCGATATCTTCTACCCTAAGCAAAAAGGAAGCCTGGCCTGCACTCGCTTGCCAGTGATCCAGGTCACAACTTGGTCCGTCCTGACAAGTGTCCCTGAATTTTCTCAGGTTTAGTTTAGGACCCTAAACCCCAGACCCTAAACCCTAGACCCTAAACCCTATAGACCCTAAACCTTCACTTTTTTCTCGGACCGTTTACCAAAAGCAGCACAGTCAGAAGCCCAGGTCTAGGGTTTTATGGCTCAGGGCTTAGGGCTATGGCTTGGGGTTTGAGGTTTAGGGTTTGAGCACGCGCGCCATGCATCAAAGTCCTGGGCTTGCGAGGCCACCCAATCTTTGGGCTCGCCCCCGCGTGTCAAATCCACCTTTTTCCCCTTGATATGGGCTGTTTTGAAAATTACCTGCTCCATTTGGGATACATATTATATTGCGGCACCTAAAATTTAGGGGTACCAAAATAGGACCCTAATTTTGGGAACTACCCAGTGTCAGTTTGAGGTCTAGGGGGGTTTAAGGTATTGCCACCTTACAGTCTCATGGCACCCAAGCCTCACTCGTTGGGAGGGTGTCATCGCGTCTACTACAGGGGCAAGTCTGCCAAGCCCCTTACTTACCCAAGCAGCTCCTGTGCAAATCTGCGAAGTCGCAAATGGCCTTCACCACTTCATCGCTCACCTCGTAACAAGAGAAGACGCCAGCAGGTTGAAGGAAGCAAAATACAAAGAAGGCCTTCTCAGACGCTTAGAAGAACTCAGAAATGAGATCCGCTCTGTAATGAATCTGCATTTGTTTCTAGGCCATCTCACTGGTGGATCCTTTTGATGGTCTGGGTTCTTCTGTCTGCTTCCAAGACGAAGGCCTGGCTTGACCTTCCAAACTAATATAGGACCCCACAACGGGGCCAAAAAGACACAGTGTGGGGTTCCACGTTAGCTGTGGGGGAAAGGAGATCCCTGAATAAGGATCTGGCAAACCCTAAAGCCGAATCCCTCAACCCTCATCGCGCAACTCTAAACTCTAATCCCAAAACCCCAATCTCAAAACTCTAAACCTTAACGTCTAATCCCCATTTCTGCGGCACAGCTTCGCTGATGAAGCCCGGCAGGCTCGAAAGGTCTTCCTGGATACCCGCGAGATAGGGGGAAACTTGGGTTTAGGGATGAGGGTTTAGGGATTAGGGATTTAGGAATTATAGGGTTCGGGATGAGGATGTGGGGTTTAGGGTTTAGGGTTTACGCGAGTTCAGGGCTTGGGGTTTGTAGTTTAGGGTTCAGGAAAAATGGAGTACTCTCTTGTAGCCGATGCAGTGTGGTAGTTACCATTGCACGTATGATCTCCATTCATGATACTTGGTCAACGCTAGCCAGTCGAGCGGAGGGCAAGGCTTTTGCGAATAGCCTGGGAAATTCAATGCTTCTAAACCCTAAACAACTACTCGCACGAGATGATCAAAGGGTCCCTGTACATTGTAATATGCCATGATACGCGAAACAAAAGTCATGCTGTCGAGAACAATGCTGCCAGCCAAAATCAAGGTAGAAACCCTCCGTAATCCTTACACTCTATGAACTAACCCTAATCCCCAAATCCAGGGCATAGCTTCCGAGCTTACTCCACAGACATTGTTTCTTGTACAACTGCGGTCGTGGGGCACGGCAGTAGAGGCCCGTCCGCTCCTCTTGAGCGACAGCCTAGAGGTCTCTTTTTCAATTCACTATATATCTTATACTGGGGGTTAGTAGGGAATAGAGGATATAATCCCCGTTAAGTATACTACTGTATACGGAATCTCTATACAAAATACTCCCTCATTCCAGCTACCCTAAACACCCTAAACCCTAAACCCTAAACCCCTTAACCCTAAACCCCGGCTAAGAAATATGGGAACAGATAAACGATGTAGGGATCCCACCAGGATGACTGCTTCAAGGGTTTAGGGTTTGGGGCTTCGGGTTAAGGGCTTAGGGTTTAGGGTTTAGGGTTCACCATGATTACAACTGTGTTGCTTCGCAAGTTAGGTTATTGCGATTCTTCTGTCAGAAAAAGGGCAAGGAGTTTAGGGTGTAGGGTATAAAAACCTTGACTAAGCTTCCCATGAACTCCTGTGCAGCGGTTTCCCTTTCCCAAAACAGGGTCCCCCCTTCGAATTGAACCCCCCAACAAACACGATCAATCCTTTCACAGGGGACCCCTGCAAGGAATCCTGTGTTTTGGAAAACCCTCAGATCCCCCTAAATCCTAAACCCTGGAGATCATCCCTGTAAGCTAGGGCTTAGATTTGGTAGTTTCCATATAGACCCTCAAATGCTATAATCCTTATTAATGGGACCCCTAAAATGGTACCCCTAATTTTGGGAGACCACCATTTAGGGTAGGGGGACCCAGATTTCAAGTCATTAGCCAGCCTGTGACCGGAAAGCTACGTTTTGTCCGCGTCGTCGAGGCTTCCACTTGCAAAGGGCACCTGAAAGCGGCGCCCTACTGAGTGTTTAGGGTTTAGGCATGCAGGAGCCCGAAGAATTAGCAATAGGTCCCTTTAAGGCCAATAGGGTTCAGGATTTAGGGGTTTATTCCCTGACAACCACTTGTAGATGATTGTTTGATTGAATGTACTCCAAGGCACTGTGCAAGAGATTTGAGAACTACTTGGGTTGGTACAACTAATCCGCAAAATCCAACGCTGTGAAACGTACAACGTGTACCCCAATGTCTAAGAACTGAACTCTGAACCCCTAAACCCTAAACTCCCTGAAGCCTACGCCCTAAGCCCCACTAAAACTAGACCAAACTTTCTTAAACCCTCAGCCCTAATATCCTAGCCACAGGCACCACCAGCAAAAGCCAGGCAAACTGCAGCAGTCTGTCTTGTCAGCTCTCTTCTGGCATGCCGTGGGGCAGACCGTGCCTCAGAACCAGAAAGGCCATGGGCTGCTGAGATGAGCTGTAGTCTAAGCTCCATTTAAGGGGGGTTATATAGGGGATTCTATAGGGAATTATATAGGGGATTATATAGGGAAGTATCATAGGGCTTATTAAGTGCTGAGATGATGCTTTGGAGCTGAATTGAAGGCTGAGAGCTGCTGGGGTTGTTTCGATGAAGATCAGAAAGCAATATGGTTGTAGCAAGCTTCCATAGAAACCCACAATCTTCCAACTTCCCACGTCCGAGGCACCGCTGGATGACTTCTGGCATCTGGTGTTTGCAGGCAAGCCGGACGCCCCAGCGCGGTGCATCCGCTTTCGCGCAGCATCGGAAGGGTAATCGGTGGAACCGGGCTACCGCTCTCTTGTGCGGGCGTGTCGGTTAGGGCTTCCAGATATTGCTGCTATGGTTCCACTGCTCCAATGCGCATATGAACTTGTTCCCAGGATTGGCTCATGAGAAAGTCTTGAGGGAGCGGCATGGGAAAGTTTCACCGACCCTGCCTTCGAACTGGAGAGGAAACTATACTATAGGGAGCCGCATTACAAGTTCAAGCTCAAAGATAGGGACTAGCACCATAATATAGCATTTTATAGTACATCTGCATAATATATAATACGAGTATGTTGTATTACAACTAATGCAGATGTACTATAATCATCACAGTCGGTGGCATGCGAGTCGCCCAGCCTCACTGTCGCTGGATGGAGGGCTCTGCAGGCACGTCTGGTGAAGCCTGGCTTGCGCAAAACACTCAGAAGCAAGCTTCAAACTGAGGTTTCCTTGGCTACGGGAACCTGTACTACTAGAAATTCGCAGTTAGGTGTGTGGGTAGTTCCCAAAATTAGGCTCCCATTCTGGTACCTCTAAACATTAGGTCCCGTAATATAATCTATACCCAACACGGGCCCATAATTTCGAGAACAACTCATGTAAGGGGGACCCCATATGGCCACAGTAATCCAAACCCTAAGGGTCCAAGTACCTAATAATCATATACTTACCCAAAACCTGTACTGTAATAGCTATTTTCCAAAACCCAAGTACCTATTTCTTGGGTGCTTGGACCCTCTGCGAAACAGAATCCTTGATGGGGACCTCTTAATCCCCACGCATCCCCAGGGTTGCTAGGAGGCCTCTCCTACGTGAGCAGTATTCCGCGCCATCTCTAGCAGTCTGCCAAGGGTTTAGGGTTTCGGGTTTAAGTGTTTTTTGTTAAGCCCTGGGGGCTTTTGATGCCTGCACGAATGCGAGGGTTTAAGGTTTAGTGTTTAGGGTCCTCTTGCCACACCCTTCTGGTCCCAGCGAGTGCTCCAACTTTGCACATCGTGTGTTCTGTTTTGCTTCAGCAAACCGTCCGGGCAACACAGGGGCCTGAATGACTACCAGTATGCTGTTGAGGTGTCTCTGAGGTACCTTCTACAAATACCCTACCGTAACTCTACGAGAAATCCGGAACCACAGTTATGGTGGCATCAAGTTAAGCCGCTCCAGTACAGTTTCGCCTGATTTAAAGAAGGCAGGGCGATGTCTCCCCTGGTCTGCTCCGACAGTCAGGTGACCTCCTTACATGGGATTGGGGGGGTGGGTCTCTCAACAGGCTGTCCCTCCTGCTTCCAGGATAGACTTGTTGTGGCAGGAATTTCGTAACCCCTGAATGTCGCGCTTCACGCCTATCTAGATTCCTGTCGAGACCATCGTTAAGGTGACCCCGGAGCACGTTGTCCCCAAGTACACGCCGAAAGCAGCCCACCCTTATCCGCGTATAATGGAGAATCAAATGGAAAAGAAATGAAAACTGGTGGAATATAGAAATTTAAGAAACTTAATTCAGTTAAGCCCTAAACCCTCAAACTCTAAACCATAAACCCTGCAAGCATCAACTGTTCTAGAGCCTCGAGCATAGGCCGCAAACCTCCTAACTAACTTTGCCAGCAGCTCGTGAGTAGCGAAGGGCGCTGTACCTCAGCGGCTCTTCGAGAAATTCTTTTTGTCGGAATGGGAAGTTGTGAAGCATGTGTACTTATTTTGAGTAAACCTGGAACCCTAAGACAGTAAGGGTTTGGGGATTAGGGGCAATTTTTTCCCAGGGACTCAACAAAGCGACCAGAATTTTGACAACCTTGCACATGGAAACGCAGATGCTCGACCTGTTCAGTGCCCGGTGATTCGGACAACATCCCAGGGTTTCTCCACACTATGGGTTTAGAGTTTTGTACAACCCCTCGGACGTTTACGTCTGCCGCAACGGCACGGGGTCCCACTTAGGCCTCAGTTGGTTTAAACAGCCACATCTTGCATCGATGGCCCTTGCACAACCAGATGAAAAAAACACAGGAACATTGCACCCAGAATTCCGGGTAGCCTCACCCAGCTGAACATTCATGTCGCTAATCTGCACACTAGACACCGCGACATAGGGTTTAAGGTTTAGGTCCATATGCTCATGATGTGAAAGTTCGAGCTCGGGTCGGGGGCCTCGAAGCCTAAGCCCTTAAACTAAAGCTGGAGAAGGATTGAGTGGAATGCCATGACTGCATGGGCAGATTCTGAAAATGTGGTTTGCCTATGGGGTCGTCCCTCAATTAACCTGTGACGAGAATCCCCTTGTGTAACGGCAAGCTACCTCTTCGACAAAATCTGATGCTTACGGGATTCAGCCAGCTGTAGGAGTCACAATCTGAAGAATGCAACAGTATGAATGTTAAGCAGATTTCGTAACAGCCCTAAACCCTAAAACCCCAACCCTAAACCCTAGACCCTAAACCCCGCAATCCTAAAGCTCCAAAGCCAGGGCCACAAGTTTCTTTGGGACCCGAGCAGAGGCGAAGCCGTTGCGGACCTCGCCAAGCCTGGACAAGTCAAAGCTAAGTGTGTAGCCTTCGCCAAGGTATAGTGTTTGGGGCTTGTAGGGCTTAGGGTTTAGAGTTTAGGGTTCGGGGGCTCGGGTTGGAGGATGAGGGTTTAGAGTTTAGGGATTAAGGTGTGGGGTTCTGGGTGCAGGGTTTTGGGGTTTAGGGCGTGTAGGCTTGAGGGATTTGGGCTTACGGTATAGGTTGGGTACTACCTCCAAACAGTAACAGTCTGCAACAGGGTTCATATGTGGGGGTGTATATAGCGATAAAATACTAAATACTGACTGTCCAGCTGTTTCTGGGTGGGGGCCGTACCCAAGTAGTACGCGGGTATGAGGACATTGGCAGGTGCTGTAAGGGACCGGGTGAGGATTCTTCTGAAACTCCCACGTAGCTAAGACATGCAAGTTCCTTCCTTGGGAAAGCCTTTACCCGGTGCGACATGCTGATGCCGCACCTAATTTTCAGAAACACCGGTTCTAGGGTCTAGGGCTGAGCCCTAGATCAACAACAGCAAGGTTTAAGACGATTTAGGGTTTGAGGGATTGAGGATTTTAAGTTTTAGAGTTTAGGGTTTGAGAATTGAGGGGGACCCCAACATGTAGACTTCAAAGTGCTGCAAGGCTCACTTTGGGGACCCCTAACTTGTGGAAGCGCTTTTCTAAGAGCGCTTCTTCCCAAATATGGGCTTCTTCCGAACTATGGGCTTCTTCCGAAATATGGGCTTCTGACCACAGATATCGCCCTTAGGGCCCATGGAGCTAGGGCTTAGGGGTGGGGCTCAGGAGTTTAGAGTTTGGGATTCAGGGTTTAGGGGCTTAGGGTCAATTATGTCAGCGGATTCCGCGTCGGCAAACGCCCTCACCGATTTAAAGCGCAACGCTTTTGAAAACGTCTTCATCTTCTACCCTTGAAAGATAAACCATTGCCATCTGCTGTGGCATACTATCATTTCGGGGTGGGGTTGCATGTTGAGGGACAGGGTAGGCTTCCTAAACCCTCAACCTCAGCCTCAGCTTACAGGCTATAGTAGGGGCATAGATTTCTGGGTTGCTGTTAAGGAACTTAAATTAAGTTACCATATTGGGTTTTTATAGTAAATAATAGGGTTTTCCCAATACAGTAACTTAATTTAAGTTCCTTAACAGCAACCCAGATTTTGGAGAATCAGCTACGCGTTTTAGGATATAGGGTTCACAGATGATTCTCAAAATCCACTCCCGAGCTCTCCCTTACCCTAAGGGTCCAAGGACCCAAATAATAGGGTCCCTCCAAAGGGTTTTTTGGGGGTCCTGTAGGGATATATGGGACTGTTTGAGGGTCCAAGGACCCAAATGATAGGGTTTTAGGGCCCAAATACTAGACTATTAATGGTATTTGGGCCCCAAAACCTTCTTGTTTGGGTCCTTGGACCCTTACGGGTAGGCACCAGTAAGCCAAACGCGCCTTCGCGACTTGGGCTGGCGGAGGTCTTCCTCAGACGCCCGCCACTGCAACTTGTCAGTGTTAAACCTCGCAGCTCAAAGGTTCCGTAGACCTAACTTAGTTGAGGGTCTAGGGTTTAGGGTTCACGATTTGGGGTTTAGGATTTACGGTTTAGTATTTAGGGTTTAGGATTTTGTTTTTATGGGACCTTTTCTCCGTGGCACAGAGTCCCACAGAAATGTTACACGAACACGGCCCGCAAAGGCTCGCACAAGAGAGCTGGAGTGCTGTCAAGAATTATCCCCTAGCGGAGCGACCCCCTGGTATGTCTGCTCACAGAGCGATCAGTCCGCCATGTTACAAGAAGGACAATCGAGGGTGTAGGGTTCAGGGTTTGGGATTTAAGCTTTTTAGGGCTTAAGGTCAATCTACCTACTGGTGCTTAAGGGGGAGTGGGGGGGGTGAATATGGGTACCTTTATAGGGAGTATATGGAGATTATACAGGGACTATTATAGGGATCCACTCCCACACTCCACCTGATGCACCGGCTTGTCGAACAAATGGGGAGCCCTGAGAACCTGGTGGTATGGGGTCCCTTTTGAGCGATTACATCCATAGCATCTGAAGGAACTGTTTAGGGTTTAGGGTAAAGGGTAAAGGGTTTAGGGTAAAGGGTCTCAGCCACAGGATCCAAGTCCTCCGACGTCCAGCAAGTATGTGAATTGCCTGTCAGTGTCTTTATTGTCCTGATGTCTGTCACAAACATCCAGTATTCCCAGCATTACGTACTGGGATTCCTGTTGATACCCGCATCATGACAATTTCTGCCATGCTAAGGTTGTCCGTCGCACTATCAGTATTCGTACTAGCTTCCTTGACATTCATCATATTATGGGGGCTTGTCAAAATTATGGTCCCCGTTTTGGGTCCCCTAAATTAGGCCCCGTATTAGGCCTCGTACTATAATAGGGACCCAAAAAGGCCCTAAACCCTAAACCGTGTGGCCCCCATATAACCAGGAACATCTGCTTGTTTACTACCCCATTACTGCATTCACTGCACAGCTGCAAACTCAGATTGCTGGGAGGATCTAGAGAGTAAAACTCCATATGGGAGTTTCTTAAAATTAGGGGTACCCTTTTTGGGGGTCCCCATAATAAGGACTATAGTATTTTGGGGTCTATATTGGGTTCCTGCTGAAATGCATCCTTCTTGAGCAGGCATGTCTTGTATCTTGTTGGCTCTAGGCAGCACAGTTTAAGCCTTGAGCATGTTTTTCATAGTCTTCAACACAATTCTTCAAGTAGTGTAGCTGTCCC